TACAGGGTCTACAGGTCAAGTTCAGTATTTCTTGAGCACTACTTTGTGCTGGGCGCTGTGTCAGCTACTAAGGGAGACAGTGATGACAGAACTCATCCTCCTGCAGGGCCTGGCTCCTCCCTGAGGCAAATTCTGCCCACATTTCAAGGCAAAACGTCTGTCAAAGGCGAAGGAAGGTCCACCTCACCCCAAGGATCTGTGGGACCCACCGCCCCTTATTTGCAACCTCCCTTCATGGCAGGGTGGGAAGTCCAATGGTGGAAGTTGGAGAAACTTGCCTGAAGACGCAGGAAGACATTGGACCACTCAATGCCCTCACCTGGCCCCTTTAGCTGACATTCCAGGGGCTCAGGAGAGAATTCCACCCCCCAAATCCAGCATGAGGGTTTTTATCTCTTCCTTAAGTAGATTACACTTAAAATCTTTTGATTTGGATGTATAAAAAAAGTCTACCCACAACAACATTGGAAGAGCAGGAAAACACAGCAAAGCCTTCTTGTCTAGCCCATCTGCTCAACATAGCACCCACTTCAGCTGTCTCCTGGGTGGGAATCCAGCTGCAGCTGCTGCCTTTGGAGTGAAAATGGAATATGGTGTCTTCTTGGGGATGGATATTTATCTGAGATGAAGTATTTTGTATGTTTAGGGTGGAATCCTAGGGTAGTGTAAACGGTTAGCATGCTTGGGTGCTAACTGAATGGTTGGAGGTTGGAGTCCACCCAGAGGCTCCTATGAAGGAAGGCCTGGTGGTCTACTTCCAGAAAAATCAGCCATTGAAAACCCTATGGAACACAGTTCTACTCTGACACATGTGGGGTCACCATGAGTTGGAGTTGATGGCAACTGGTGGTGGGTTATGTTCAGTGTTCGCCAATCTTCATGTAGAATTGTTGGCTTAGAACTTTACAGTTCTCTTTCCAAAGCATGTGTTTCTGATGTGATTTGAGGGAAGACACCACTAAGGGGGGCCTAGACCACCATGTTAGTGTCAGATGCTAAAAATGAAGGAACTACAGAAGGAACCTGAGTCTGGAATACGACAGGTGTTATGGATTGAATTGTGTCCCTCAAAAATGTGTGTCAACTTGGATAGGCCATGATTCTCAGTCATGTGTGATTGTCCGCCATTTTATCATCTGATGTATTATAAATCCTACTTCTGTGATGTTAATGAGGCAGGATTAGAGGCAGTTATGTTAATGAGGCAGGACTCAATCTACAAGATTAGATTGTGTCTTGAGTCCCTCTCTTTTGAGATAGACAGAAGCAAGCAGAGATGAGAGGGACCTCCTACCACCAAGCAAGAAGAGCCAGGAGCACATGTCCTTTAGACTTGGGGGTCCCTGTGCGGAGAAGCTCCTAGACCAGGGGAAGATTGATGACAAGGACTTCCTCCGGAGCCAGCAGAGAAAGCCTTCCCCTGGAGCTGGCACTCTGAATTTGGACTTCTAGCCTCCTAGACTGTGACAGTATAAATTTCTCTTTGTCAAAGCCATCCACTTGTGGTATTTCTGTTATAGCAGCACTAGATGACTAAGACAACAGGTAATAGGAAACGGGGTAAGATGAGGAGCAGTAGGTCGAGGGGATCCCATGTGGGGTGTAGGTGACAGACCTATCTCCTTACTTCTGTGAGGCACAGTCAATGCTGAGCACACAAGAGGCTGTGCTGCCTTTTCACTTGGCAGAGGGAGAAATGGGGGGTGGAGGCTGTATTTCCAAGGGTCAAATGCTGTCAGCACTGAGCTCCGGGGGTGAATTTCAGGAGGGAGATTTGTCAGGATTTCTCAGATCTAGTCTTTGACGTATATGCACGGTTCCTTGAATTGCTAGGAAAAGTTATCAGAGGAGAAGCACAACAAAAACAGCGTTTTATTGTCCCTTTGTATGAACATGGTCCCTGGGTGGCACAAACAGTTCATGCTTGACTACTAACCTATAAGTTGGCAGTTCAAACCCACCCAGCAGCGCTGCTCAAGAAAGCCTTGGCAATCTGTCTCCATAAAGACTCCAGCCAAGAAAACCCTATGGAGCACAGTTCTACTCTGTAACACATGGGGTCACCATGAGCCGGAATCAACTCACCAGCAATGGGTTTGGTTTTTGGTTTTTGTATGAACACTAGGTGATGATGTCATGGCCAGCACGTTCCTTTGTGAACTTTGTGTTGTTGGTGCCAGGTGTCTTGCTACAACATGGTGCGTGCTATACAGCAGCAGGCTCCGAGCCCGTTTTGAGAACCATGGGGTACTGACATGTGTGTCTCCCGATGTGCTGCTCAGCTCCGAGCTCTTCATGCTTCATGTTGACTTCACGCTGATGGCCCCTGTAGAAGCTTCTCTAGGAGATGCATGTCGGAATGATGGCCTGACCGGGGGGGATTACTCAGTAAGCCAGGTATGCCTGGGCTTACATTAAGCAAGGTATGCACAATTTCAGGTGAAACTGTGCACTACAAAGCAGTAAGTAAGCACAAGTAAGCCTGTGCTTACCTTGCTTATTAGGTAACCGTCCCTGGCCTGACCCACTTGGGAAGGGTGACTTGTTCAGTGGGCTGTGCTGGTCAGTGGTGGGTCCTTTCTTGGCTGCCTTTGAGACCAGGAGGTCCATCTCAGAGCCGTTCCCTGCCCCCCTTTGCACACTTGCTGCTCCAGCTGGAGTTACCCCCAGACTGGGAAGCCACAGTTACTGTCTGCCTCCTCTGCTGTACCAAGAGCCCCTCTGGGGCAGCGGCCACATCTCACTCATCGCTCCACCTCTGTTGCCTTGCTCAGTGATTAATTTAGCCACCAGGTGGGGACCAGGGACAGTCCCAGGCACTGGCCATGTAGGTGACCAGCAGGGATGAGGTCTCTGTCCATGGAGTGTTAGGTGCTGGTTCATGAAGCCGGAGGGCTGGCTGGTGAGCTTCTCTGCAGCCTTACAGCGAGGGGACGGCCCCATGTGGGAGGTGACCCAGGCTGGGCCTCTTCATCCCTGAGTGCTCAGCGAATCGGGTGGAAACAATCTGCAGTGTGTGAGCATCTTGGGGGATACCGCTGTCCCAGTTTCTAAAGGAGGCCGTTCATGGAACCTGGGCCGGCTCCAAAAATCAGGACGGATTGCTAATGCTGCCAAGCTGCTGTCTCCTTGGGGTCATTTGTTGTTTGGAGATTGTGTAGTCCCAGACTTGGCGTGACCCCATGTGTCCCAGGACAGAGGAACCGTGTTGAAGTGTGAGTACAGGTGTATACATGCATGTGTGTGCATGTGATTGTGAGTCCATGTGTGCACAAGTGGATGTGTCTGTAAGTGTGTGCATGTCAAATCCAAGGAAACAGGAGTCTGAGAAGGGGACGAAGTGTGACGACAGAGACATTAAAAGTCCCTGGGTGGTGCAAACAGTTAAATGCTCAACTACTAACCAAAAGGTTGGCAGTTCAAACCCACCCAGAGGTGCCTCGGAAGAAAGGCCTGGCAATCTACTGCTGAAAAATCAGCCATTGAAAACCTATGGAGCACAGTTTTACTCTGACACATGTGGGGTTGCCATGAGTTGGAGTCGACTTGATGGCAACTGTTTTTTTTTTTTTTTTAAATGTAGTTTTTGAAGGACTCTTGCTGATGAGGAGAGAGAGAAAATGATTGACCTTTTATGTAGAATGTCTGGGAGGCTGATGAGCATCTGTGTCTGAACACATACTACATTTTGGTTGTGTTTTAGTCAAAGCCACCTTATGCATGGGCTTCAGCAAGATCAAAAAAAAATCAAGAAGAGAGGTAGAATTCAAGGCTCCTATCCATACTGGACTAGATTCGAGAAGAGATGGAAAATTTTACAGATCAAAAATGAATTATTCCAAGATGGGAAGTAATAGACTAGTATTTGCCAAGAGGTAATAAATGCTTAGAGGAAATTGAAACGCACAAATGAAATGCCCACAAAGCTCAGATTATGCAAATGGACTTTAAAGTTCAATTTTTAGAGCAGAGGTTCTTTCGGAAGGTTATCTCGTCCCTGGAAGGGAGCCGAGATGGAGCCCATGTCCCAGGGGAGACATTCAGCTGTCTCTTCTCTTGCTTTTTATAAAATGAGGGTCTAGGAGTTTAAAGGAGTCTCTGGGTAGTGCAAATGGTTAACATGCTTGGCTGCTTCACTGAAAGGTTGAGGGTTCAAGTCCATCCAGAGGTACCTTAGAAGAAAGGCCTGGCAATCTACTTCTGAAAAGTCAGCCATTGAAAATCCTAAGGAGCACAGTTCTGCTCTGACACCCACGGGGTTGCCATGAGTCAGAGTCGACTGAACGACCACCGGTACAGGTAGGTAGGAGTTTAAAGGCAGGCTGGTGGTGGGGTGTGAGTGAGAGTTTAGGTGTGGCGGACCCTCCCGGGCAAGAATTGAAGCTTGACCACCAACAAGCCTGGGGGCTGGGCCTTACTTTGTGGGTGCAGCAACACTCAGAATGTCCCCAATGTGTGTGAAAAACAAACCCCCAAACAAAAGCAGGACAAAGAGGGCAGCTCTCCTCTCCAGGGACAGAGACCCCAAGGGGGCTGAGTCAACGGGTCTCCTTTTCTTACCTGAAGATCTAGACAGTAGATGACCTGGAGAGCGGCATTCCAGCCATTGCCTGGGTTACGCCCTGGTCATGCTATATAGTTGTGTCTTCTGACATGCACTGCTCACAGCTGACCAGATCATCTCATTTCCAGATCCCCCGTCCACACCCCCCCGCGTCTCCTCAACATGGGACGCGGGGGGCCTGAGTCCACGTACGCCTGCCACCGTCGGACTTCTAATGCTGAATTTATGAGGGACGTCCATTGTTCTCAGGTACATCCGTCATTGGGTTTCATGTGAGAACTGGGGGTGCACACCTGCAGTGTATCCGAAGCTGCCTTGGGGTACCCAGCTCTACCACAGAAAAAGTACAGTACCCATTTGTGTATAAGAATATATTATTTAAAAGACAGTCTAAAAATACAAATTCTGTACATTGTCATGAATTCCTTTTGTGTGTGTGTGTGTCAGTGAGGAAAACGGCTCTTAGAAAACGTGATTTTGTGGTTTTCAGATGTTGCGAACGGACGTTTCTGCGCATGGGGAGTCCCAGGGAGCTCCGTCCGCCCGGTCCCAGAGAAGATTCTGTGACTCCGCAGCTTCCTCCAGGCCAAGTCTGCTGGAAAGAGGAAAAGAACTCCTGGTTCGTTGTTGGAATTGGAACTTTGGAGGCAATATTACAAATGTCACAGAATTACACATAGAACAGTTCAAAACATGAGGTCGTTGGACATATTGTCGAACACGTTTAAGCAAAATAAAATAATTTTCATCTTCCTTCTGGGCCATTCAAAAATATGATCTGATTTAAAAATTGAGCCAACATTTACTGAATATTTTATGTATAGCCCCTGGGTGGCACACATGGTTAATGCGCTTGGCTGCTGAGTCCAGCAAGAGGTGCCTTGGAAGAAAGGCCTGGCGATCTACTTCTGAAAAATCAACCATTGAAAACCCTATGGAGCACAATTCTACGCTGACACCCATGGGGTCGCCATAAGTCACAGTTGACTCAACAGCAAATGGTTGTTTTTTCTTATGGAGCAGACACCATGCTCCAGCGGTGTCACTAGGGAGATGCAGGGGGTGCAGACTGCACCGGGTGACCCTGTCAGAAGGGGTGACACCAGAATGACTGTCTATAAAAATTCTGTGCAGTGTTTCAGCAGAAATTTATTATTTTTTATAAAAATATCCCCGTAGTTAGCTATAACAACAAAAAAAACTTTTTCATCAGCCCAGCTTACATATATCAGTACACCTACCAGGCTAAAACTCTATGCTAATTTCCTTTTTGAGCCTTCTAACGTGCTGCTGTTAGTGCTGTCATTATTACTTACCTACAACGATGCTTCGAATCACGTGGCTTTGTCTGCACACGCTACAAGGACATGCAATTGTTTTTGTTGCTGCTGGTGTTTTTACAGTCTCTGATTTTGTCAAATTTTCTCGTGCTTTAGCTACAATATTGTGGTAATTAGCATGGGGGGTTGACACCATGAGTTACCGCAACTGGGTGACACCAGCCCTAGTGATGTCACTGCTGCGCTTATTTAATTGCTAAAACAACAATGCTGTTGTTGTTGTTAGGTGACATCAAGTCAGTTCCGACTCATAGCCACCCTGCGCACCATAGAGCAAAACACTGCCCCCTCCTGCGCCATGCTCACAATCGTTGTTATGCTTGAGCCCACTGTTGCAGCCACTGTGTCAACCTATCTCGTTGAGGGTCTTCCTCTTTTTCATTGACCCTCTACCAAGCATGATGTCCTTCTCCAGGGACTGATCCCTCCTGACAACATGTCTGAAGTATGTAAGACGTAGTCTCGCTATCCTTCCTTCTAAGGAGCATTCTGGTTGTACTTCTTCCAAGACAGATTTGTTTGCTCTTCTGGCAGTCCATGGTATATTCAATATTCTTCACCAACACCACAATTCAAAGGCGTCAATTCTTCTTTGGTCTTCCTTATTCATTGTCCAGCTTTTGCATGCATATGAGGCGATTGAAAATACCATGGCTTGGGTCAGGCGCACCTTAGTCCTCAAGGTGACGTCTTTGCTTTTCAACACTTTACAGAGGTCTTTTGCAGCAGATTTGCCCAATGAAATGTGTCTTTTGATTTCCTGACTGCCGCTTTTGTGGGTGTTGATTGTGGATCCAAGTAAAATGAAATCCTTGACAACTTCAATCTTTTCTCCATTTATCATGATGTTGCTTATTGGTCCAGTTGTGAGAATTTTTGTTTTCTTTATGTTGAGGTGTAATCCATATTGAAGGCTGTGGTCTTTGATCTTCATCAGTAAGTGCTTCAAGTCCTCTTCACTTGCAGCCAGCAAGGTTGTGTCATCTGCATATTGCACGTTGTTAATGAGTCTTCCTCCAATCCTGATGCCCTGTTCTTCTTCATACAGTCCAGCTTCTTGGATTATTTGCTCAGCATACAGATTGAATAGGTATGATGAAAGGATGCAACCCTGACGCACAGCTTTCCTGACTTTAAACCACGCAATATCTCCTTGTTCTGTCCGAACACCTGCCTCTTGATCTATGCACTGGTTCCTCATGAGCACAGTTAAGTGTTCTGGAATTCCTATTCTATGCTGTTGTTAGGTGCCATCAAGTTCATCTTGACTTATAATGACCCCATGTGACAGGGCAGAACTGCCCTATAGGGTTTTCTAGGCTGTAATCTTTACAGGAACAGATCACCAGGCCTTTCTCCCATCTAAGCACTGAGTGGCTTCAAGCCGCCAACCTTTCAGTTAGCAGTGGAGTGCTTAACCGTTGCGCCATCAGGGCTCCTTAAAAACAACAATAATAACGATATTGTTACTTCTAGTTTGGAGATTAGGACTCTGAGGTTCAGCGAAGTGAAGACATTGGTGCAGGTCACTCAGCTTAAATTAGCAAAGCTCAGATTTAAGGTTTGTTGGCTGCCAAAGCCTGTCCCTGTTTCTCTTACAAAACCAGAGCCCAGTTTCTCATGCCCTTTGCTTTGAATGCTCTGTAAACTAAGAAGATCTCAAATTATCCTTTAGACTCGCGTACGTCATTGTTGGCTGCCGTCGAACCAGTGCACAATGGAACGAAACACGGCCTGGTCCTGCGCCATCCTCATGACTGGTTGTGATCCAGAGGGTTTCCAATGGCTGATTTTCAGAAGTCGATCACCAGGCCTTTCTTCCTAGTCTGTCTTCATCTGGATGCTCTGCTGAAACTTGTTCATCATCATCGCAACATGCAAGCCTTCCCTGACAGATGTGCAGTGGCTGTGCACGAGGTGCATTGGCTGGGAATCAAACCCAGGCCTCCTGCGTGGAAGCTGAGAATTCGACCACTGAACCACCGCCGCCCCCAAAGACTTGCGTGTGGTGTAACTTTATTTCGTGGAGGCTACCTGGGCTGCTTTTACATTCGACGTAGATTAAATGAATGACTCATATCAATAAGTACTTTGGAAGAACACTTAAAACTGTAGAAGCAAACACTTTATTTTTCTGAAGAGCTTTAAGTGCTCCTGTTGCACTGTAAAAATGTAGAGCACCTTTCCTTATAAGTTGTCAAGGATTTCATTTTACTTGGATCCACAATCAACACCCATGGAAGCAGCAGTCAAAAGATCAGAAAATGCATTGCACTGGGCAAATCTGTTGCAAAAGACCTCTTTAAAGTGTTGAAAAGCAAAGACGTCACCTTGGGGACTAAGGTGCTCCTGACCCAAGCCATCGTGTTTTCAATCACCTCATATGCATGCAAAAGCTGGCAATGAATAAGGAAGACCGAAGAAGAACTGACGCCTTTGAATTGTGGTGTTGGCGAAGAATATTGAATATACCATGGACTGCCAAAAGAATGAACAAATCTGTCTTGGAAGAAGTACAACCCGAATGCTCCTTAGAAGCAAGGATGGAGAGACTACATCTCATATACTTTGGATGTGTTATCAGAAGGGATCAGTCCCTGGAGAAGGACATCATGCTTGATAAAGTACAGGGTCAGCAAAAAAGAGGAAGACCCTCAACAAGATGGACTGACATAGTGCCTGCAACAATGGGCTCAAGCGTAACGATTGTGAGGATGGCACAAGACTGGGCAGTGTTTCATTCTGCTGTACATCGGGTCGCTGTGAGTCGGAACTGACTCAACGGCACCTAACAATGACAACAACCACAATGTATATGCTAATTATTGATCTTTTTTCTGTCTCTTAACTAAAGCATGTCCCCTAGGATAGCTTCAATTATCACATGCAAAGAATAAAGGTTTTACTTATTTAAAAACATTCAGTAATTCAGATTTCTTTCTGTTATGGAATGCATTGTGTCCCCCCAAAATATGTGTTGTAAATCCTAACAATTATAGTGGTTACAGGAAACCCTGGGGGCGTAGTGGTTAAGAGTTACAGCTGCTAACCAAAAGGTCGGCAGTTGGAATCCACCAGGCGCTCCTTGGGAACCCTATGGGGCAGTTCTACTCTGTCCTATAGGGTCGCTATGATTTGGAATCAGCTCGAGACACCCAACAATAACATAGTGGTTATAATCCCATTTGGGACTAGGTTTTCTTTGTTATGTTAATGAAGTAGTATTAGTCTAGGGTGTGTCTGAAATCATTCCCTTTTGAGATATAAAACAGCAGACTAAGGAAGCTCCACATGAAGATCAACAAGGAGCCCAGGAACAGAAGTTGAAAAGAGACAAGGACCTTCTCCCGAAGCCAACAGAGAGAGAAAGCCTTCCCCTAGAGCTGGCGCCCTGAATTCAGACTTCTAACCTCGTAAACTGTGAGAAAATAAATATCTGTTGTTAAAGCCACCCACTTGTGGTATTTCTGTTATAGCAGCACTACATGACCGAGACATCTTCCTTCCTCAGAGTTTGAATACCTTCTCCATTTTAGCCTAAATTACCGTATGTATTGAGAAACCAACTCAGAAATTGTATTACCTTCAGTTTTTTTTCACATCTTTGCTTTTTTCTCTCGATTTTCCGGAGCTCCCAGGTGTCAGGTTCTCAGTCTGCTTCTGCAGCTAGGACAGAGCGACAGAAGGCAAAGTCACCTCCGGGGAGACAGGAGTGAGCGAGTGCTTGTCTTTTTAAGAGGTTTCTGTTGACCCAGAGGAATCCCTGAGTGGTGCAAATGGTGAACATGTGCCGGTGCTAACTAAAAGGTTGGAGGTTCGAGTTCACCCAGAGGTGCCTCAGTAGAAAGCCCTGGTGACCTACTTCCAAAAAACCAGCCCTTGAAAACCCTATGGAGCACAGTTCTACTCTGACACACATGGGGTCACCAGGAGTTGCAATCAACTCGATGGCAACTGATTTGGTTGGCTGAGGATGTGAAAATGTGAAGTCGAGAACAAACACAAGGTGAGCTTTTCAGAGACGTAGCGCTGCGTACGAGTGGTCCTTCTCCATTATCTGAGGACTCACCTGGGTGATGATCGCCCTATGCTGGTGGAAGTGCATGCTGGGTGCAATTACCCCGACTACAGGGAACTGGCTGTGGTAGGCGGAGTCTGCCTGCAAGCTGCACATCTGGACCTCTTTTGTGTCTGTCCTTTCTGGGGGCAGGAGATGCCTGGGGAGTCCTAGTGTCCCTCTGGGTAACAGGGCTTAACAGCGGAGGCTTAGCCCTTCCTAGGAGCGGCTCCGGGAGGCCAGGAGAGCGGGAAGCCAGGTCAGCGCTGCCGGGAGGGGAGGCCTGGGCGGGCAGACACCCTCGGGCTTAGGTCTGCTCCTCTGCGTGCTTTGATCTCAGGCTTTTAGAGTTCTAGAGACTGCTCTGTGTGTGGCCTTCTGGCAGAGAATCCAGCTAGGAGGATGGGTGGCTGGTTGGGTTTTGCATCAGCTTGGGAGCATGTACTGAGCACCCACGTGACCAGCATCACACAGCAGGTATGTGAACGCAGTGTGGTCCAGGGAGGCAAGGCTGACCTGAGCAAACGCCTGGAACACAGCTCATGGGGCGATGGGGCGAGTAGGGTCAGGAGTCTGCAGATGGGAAAGACTGAGTCGGGGGGGCATGAGTAACCAGGAGCCCTGACTGGTGGGAGTCATGGGGGTGAAGCGTGCAGTGAGTGGGGAGACTTCTGTAGCTGCATCTGCAGAGAGCAGGGTGTGGCGGGAGAGGACAGAAGGGAGGTCACAGGGGAAAGTCTCAGTCATCCCAGGGGACAGGAAGCCTGACATAGAGATTTGCATACAGTGGACTCCTGACCTGGGCAAACAAGCTCACTGGGGCTGTGGGGACAGACCCTACATCTGCTCTGAACTGTGAACTTGACCCTTCTCTGAAAAACTATCAATTCACAACAGCAGTCTCCCCTGACCCTGCAGAGGTGCTCTGCCGCTGAGCCAAGCGTGCGAGTGCTCCATGTCCTGGAGCCCAGGTGGATGGCTGCTTTGTCCCCAGGCCCCCAGGGAGCATCTCTCTTCATCCCCTCACCACCCCCACCCACACTGAACAAAATCAGCCACGGGGCGAGGGAGGGCCAGGGTTCTACACCGTGCAGGTGACCGTGATGCGGTCAGGGTGGCTAACGAGACAGAGCTCCTTGGTTAAACCCAGGGCTGTACGAAGCTACTCGTTGCGGTTGTGACTCCCGTTAATGGGCACAGGGCAGCGCAGCATTTTACCTGGCGTGTGTCATTTCAGTTTCTCGTATGGCTGGAACAAGTTGTGCCCTTGTTCACAGGGAGTGTTATGGATTGAACTGTGTCCGCCCAAAATATGTGTTCGAATCCTAACCCCTATACCCATGGATGTGATCCCTCTTGGAAATAGGGTTTCCTCTGTTATGTTAAGGTTATGTTATGTTATGGTGGTGCAGCGGGTAAGAGCTCAGGCTCTAACCAAAAGGTTGGCAGTTCGAATCCACCAGCCACTCCTTGGAAACCCCATGGGGCAGTTCTACTCAGTCCTCTAGGGTTGCTATGAGTCAGAATCAACTCGAAGGCACACAACAGTAGATAGATGGAGCCCTGGTAATCCAGTGGTTAAAAGTTCGGCTGCTAACCAAAAGGTCAGCAGTTCAAATCCACCAGCCGCTCCTTGGAAACCCTATGGGGCAGTTCTACTCTGTCCTATAGGGTTGCTAGGAGTCAGAATGGACTCGATGACAATGGGTTTGGTTTCAGTTTTTTGTTATGTTAATGAGGCTGTATTAGTGTAGGGTGTGTCTTAAACCTACTCCCAAGATATAAAAGAGTGGATCAGACACGAGACACACACACTGGGGGAGACAGATGCCCTGTGAGGATCGTCTACAAGCCTAGAACCAAGGAATGCCCAGGGCTACCGACAAGGAAGGAAATGACGTGGCTGAGACCCTGGTTTGGACATCTCGCCTCCAGAGCTGTGAGAAAATAAACTGCTGTTCTTTAAAGCCACTCACTGGTGGTATCTGTGTTACAGCAGCCCTGGGTCACTATGAGAGGGAGGGACCTTCAGCCAGGGTGCGCTCGGCATCGCCAAGTCCTGGAGTCAGGAGCACAGAATGGAGTGTGCCCACTTTCTCCCCCACATTCCACCTTACCTCTCTCATGGCGTCTTCGGTTTGCTTCAGTTCCTCGTAATGATCTCTGGATTCCCAAAGGGGCTGGAGCATTATTTCTTCAACCACAGGGAAGAGCTAGAAGAGAGGAGCGGATTTGCTTCAACTTTCTATCAGAAAATGTGGGAGTGAACAAGTGTCTGCTCCTGGGTCACACGTGTCTCAGTGGGTCAAACAGGAATTCACGTCCATCCAACCTGCACAGCCTGCTCCTGCCGGGGCCAGAGCCTGCACAGGTTCCCAGGTAACGGAGGTTCAGGTGCCACTGGGTCAGTTCTACCTCCTGGGACCCATGCCACCCTCTATCCCTGGGTCCTTCTCTATGGCGAATTTGTCATTTTTCACATGGGCGCCAGCAAAAGCCACTCCCTTGTCCCTGTCCCACCTTCTAACACGTACATCTCATCCACTGGTCCCCACCCACAGACCCTGTGTTGGTAAGTGAAGACCATCCCCCTGGTGTGGCCTCAGGGTCCCCTGAACCTTCCCCCACCACCCTGCCTTCACCCACCCACAGCTCACACCTACGGGTCTGCTCACGGCACTCACTTGCAGCTCTCATCCCACCTGTCCACCTGGGGAACATTCATTGGTCTTTTGAGACTCAGTTCTGGTGGTGCCATCTTCCCTGACCCCAAGGAGGTGACCTCCCATCCCCGTCCCCTGAGAACCCTGAGCACACAGTGCTGTATGCCCATAATGCTTCTCTGCCTCCTTCTGCAGGCTCCAAGGCCTGACTGCTGAGCTGCACCCCCAGCGATCAGCATCCCTGGCGACGTGTGTGATGACGGCCGCTCACCTTGGTCACAGTTTCAAACATTGGGATAAGAACAAACTTGATGAACCCAATCTGGGCTGTAGCTTTGGTCACTTTGTCTCGGTCCATAAACGGGGCCACAGGAAGGCCTTCTGACTTTTCACGGTCACTCTGTGGGGAAGACAATACCCGTTGCAGTTGAGTCAATTCTGACTCATGGTGACCCTACTGCACAGAGTAGAATGGCCCCATAGGGGTTTCCAAGGAGCGGCTGGTGGATTTGAACTGCTGACCTTTTGGTTAGCAGCTGAACGTTTAACCACTGTGCCACCAGGGCTCTGGGGAACATGATAGATGGCGGTATTAGAGAAAGCAATGCCAAAGGAATCTGGAGAACACTGAGGATCGTTGTTCTTAGAGGAAGAAAAAGATTTGCTAATTAACCAACAACCAATCCAGCCATTAAAAAAAAAAAGAAAAGTTGCCGTCGGGTTGACCCCTACTCACGGTGAACCCATGTGTGTCAGAGTAGAACTGTGCTCCACAGGGTTTTCAAAGGCATTTCTGATCACCAGGCCTTTCTTCTGAGGCATCTCTGGGTAGACTGGAACCGTCAACTTTTGGGTTAGCAGCCGAGCGTATTACTCATTACTCAAACCACATTATACTCATATTAGTGAGAACAAGGAAAGGGTGGCAGCACCTTAAGTGCTGAGTAGAGCATTTGCCATGCATGAGCAGTGCAGGAGGATGTGTTGAGGGCAGGCACATTGGTTAGACGTATCACATGCTGCTCTGCAGAAGAGGCGGCCTGCAGAGCCCTTTCTGGCTTGATCAGGCTGTTCAACTTAGTGGTTTCTTGTCTTTTCCAGTATCTTCCATTTTAGGCTGACTTCAGGTTTTGTATGTCTCAGCTCTTCCTCATGGCTATAATATATAGCTAGAGACAGCAGGGGTGAGGGCCTGTGAAGGGTGAGACTGTAGGGAGCGGGCTGGGGACAGGGCAGGGAGGAAGTGGCTCTGGGTCACTGTGAGGGCAGGATGAAGAGGCTTCTGAGTATGCCCGTGTATGCATATGTACATGTGTGCATATGTGTGAGTATATGTGTATGTGTGCACATGGGTGCTCAGGTGTGTGTATACACATGTGTGTATAGGTGTGCACCCGTGCATGGGTACTTTGTCTCACCCACCCCTTGGGGCCCATTCCTGCGTCCACAGTCCTTGCTTTTGACTTTGAGGCAGTTTGCTCGACAAGTTCGCCCCTAATTGTGGCTCAGTTAGTGCCACAGGTGGCAGTTTCACATCAGTTCTTCTGGCTTGTCACTGCCTTTGATGTCCCAAATTACAACTCTTTTCATTTCTGATGGACACCTGTTAGCGAAGACTCTCTGGAGGCTGCTGAACCTGTCCACCGCCAAATACGCTGTCCATCTCGGCACACCCCTTCAACCACGAGCCCTGGCGAAATGGAGCTCATCGGAGCAATGTTGACTTGGCAGCACCCTTACCTGAGTAAAATACTCTTCTAATAAACAGTCCACCCAGGGTTCGGCAACTTCCATTGGACGGACCTCATTAGAGATATCACAGCACTTGATCAGAATCATCTTCAGCTGAAAGAAGACAGTTTGGAATGAGGCCTTGGACTATATGGTGTAACCCACCGCTGCTGTTTCTGTTTGTCTGGGCCTGACGGCAGAGGCAGGAGGGGGTGGAGGTGCTGGGTGCTGGGCCGGGTGTCAATGTGCTCCCCTCGCCTGCAGCGGGGTCAGCATTTCCCTCTATGGCGGGTGCTCCTGCGTCTGCATTTGGATCCTCAGCCTGCCTGGGGAGGATGGGAGCATCCCGTGCCCCCAGAGTATCAGAACCTTTTCTGGAGGGGCTTGAGCAGTTTGGAAAAGCCTGTTCAATGCATAGACATTTCGTAATACAGACTGTAAATGGTAAAGTTCAACAAAACCTTGACTGTTGGGGATACATGAAAAACATAGAAAAAGCATCATTCAGCGGCCTAGGTTAAAAGAGTCTTAAAACAAACTCAGTGGGTTCACTCGTGCGGGGACCCTGAGTGATGAAGTGACGTGTTAGAGACACAAAGTGAGGAAGGGGACCCTCGGGTGAGGGACGGTCAGGGCACCTGCACTGGCACTCCGTCGTCCCCAGTAGAAATGGCAGTGGTGCCACCGACCTAGTGGGTGTCTACTGGGCAGGACTCCCATTCCGGCCACCCCTCCAACCTGGGGTGAGAAAATTACACAGATGCCGAAGGTGGCATTGGCTTCTGCCCTCTGCTTCCAAACCCATGTCTCCCCGTGTCCGACGGGCCTCTCTGGCCCGGGGCTCCACTTGCATGCTCTGGCTCAAGTCGCCATCTTGGTGAAAGTGCTCCTTCCCTGCTTTCACGGGAGAGCCCACTTTATTCCCAGGAAAGCATAGCAAGGTGAATGGTTCTCACCCATTTCTCTCCCTCAAACCAGAACTGGGAGGGAGGAATGGGGAAATGCATGAGGGAGAGCTTTATCAGGCGAGGGGACCCAACCTAGGGGCCTTCCCAGTAAGAGCTGGGGCCTTGGAGACCAGCTTTCCTGACACCCCGCTCCAAAACCAGGTCCAGAATTTTGGCTTCTTGATCGCAGGTCACAGCTGGGTGGTCTGATTCTCACTTGGCCAGCCCCTAAAAGAGGTCAGACAAACGTACTTACCAGGGTCATATGCTCCTCGTTGCTGTAGTCAAAATTCTCCATTTTTTCTTTGAAAGAATCCATGATTTCTGCATGCCTTGCCATGTCAGTGGCCAAGATCAGTGTAATTATCCCCTGAAAAGTGAAAGAGCAAAGCGCTGACACCATGAATAATAATTATTTAATGAGCACCTGCTGTGTACTGAACTGAGCCCTCTGCACTCCTTATTTCATTTGGCGCTCAAATCAACTCTTGCGTGTGTCTAAGAATCACCGTCCTGATTTTACAGAGACAGAAGAGGCTTGAGGAGGTTGAGGGACTTGCCCAGGAGCAGCTGTGGAGTGGAAGGCTGGGGGTTCAAACTCAGGTTTGGTGTGACCAACGCCCACATGTGGCTTGAGAACCTATGTGTGCTGGGTCCTCAAAGAGGAAGTGGCCACTTCCACAGCCTGCTGGGAACCATTAAGTTGTAGATTGGCTTGTTGTTAACCCTGGTGGTGCAGTGGTTAAGTGTTTGGCTGCTAACCAAAGGGTCGGCTGCTCCTTGGAAACCCTATGGGGCAGTTCTACTCTGTCCTATAGGATCACTATGAGTTGGAATCAACTCTATGGCAATGGGTTAGTTAGTCGAGTTGGCCCCGACTCATGGTGACCTCATACACAATGAAACGAAATGCTGCCTGGTCCTGCACTATCTTTGTGATTGGTTGCAGATTGGATTGTTGTGATCCATAGGGTTTTCACTGGCTAATTTTTAGAAGTAGAACACCAGGCTTTTCTTCCTAGTCTGTCTTAGTCTGGAAGCCCCACTGAAACCTGTTCAACATCATAGCAACATGCAAGCCTCCATGACAGATGAGTAGTGGCTGCACATGAGGTGTGTTGGCTGGGAATCAAATCTGGGTCTCCCCATGAAAAGTGAGAATTCTCCACTGAACCATCAATCTTCATGCAGATTGATTTAGCATTGTGCACCCTCATGAAATTAGCAGATTTTAGCCAAGGACAAAAGTTTTCCCTGGATTTAACAATCTAGGTATGTGGTTCATTCCTCTCAGATCTTGTTGGAGGTCAAACACCAATTTTCTAAGAATATTTTTTCTATTATCTAATCTATATGTGGTTATATGTATACATGTTGCTTGTGAATGATCAAAGTCAGGGTATATTTAATAGCATTCTCCCATTAACAAATGTATAAATGGTGATGAAATGAGTTTTTTTTTTTAAAATGTTAAGTACTTTATTACCTTCTTAACCAAATATTGATTTAGGAGAAGTAACATAATTCAAAACCACGGCCATCCATCTGTCTGTACACCCATCCATCATCCATCAATCTATCCATCTGTCCACCCTTCCTTCCTTCCATCTATCCTTTAATCTACCTATCTATTTATTCCACACTCATTTAGAGAACACACCTCTCTGCCACGTATGTTCCACTTCTTTTTCCCACAATGCATTTTTTTTTTTATTGTACTTCAGGTGAAGGCTTACAGAACAAATAGTTTCTCATGAAACAGTAGTACACATATTGTTTTTACGACATTGGTTAACAACCCCACAACATATCAACCCTCTCCCTTCTTGCTCCACTTTTCAAAAAATATAAAATACAACCACAAGCATCAAATACAAAACCCAAATCAACCAACATAGGTAATCTCAAATGTATTCAGGGGAGGATCACTGGCATTTTAAATTAGGCAATTTGTCTGTAAAGATTTCACGTTGTATTAGTGAAGGATCTATTCAGTTATCTCTCAAAATCTTCAGAGACAAAAACATATTTTTAAAAATTGGAACAACTGATTTTATCCTGAGAAGAAAGTCTTAAAGCCAGTAAAATGTTTGAAAGAGGATAAGCCTTGTCCATTCCATAGTGGCTGGTGTGAGGACGTGCCATTTGTAGGGTGGCTGCTCCTCTAATCAGCCACCTTCTGTCTTTTCCACGTCGCTGCTCTGACACCTGTTGGGACGAGTCACGTGCAGGGGCAGGCAGCTTGCTCTGCTTCTCCAGGTCCTCTTCCTGGAGGAATTTTCACTGGGCAGCCACTAGGGGCAGCAGTGGCCAATGCCATGTTCTCTATGATGTGCACCTTCACCTACTTCAGAGAAAGAGTTGCTACAGCTAATCATAACAACACATGGCACATGCTTGCCAGGTGGTTCCATAAACATGTCGGAGAGGCCAGAAGGCCTGTAGATAAAGAGGAGATAATTGTACCAGGAACTGGTGATTCAATAAGGACTATGGCAGAGTACTACATTTAGTTTTAAACTTCCTGGAAGTGTGGGCTGATTGGGAAACAATTGTTTACGAGGCTGTCGCTGTCTGATAAAGTGGAGCTTATCAGTTCTCCAGGAGGGAGACGAGTGTTTTCCTGGCACTGGAGTCTAAGAGACTTTACCAGGTGCATCTTGAAGAAGAGCTATTAAGACACAGAATGGACAAGGTTTTCAGCTGTGTAATGGCAGAACATGGCTCCTCAAAGAGATGGAAGATGGTTCCTTGTCTTAGTTTCCTGTGGTTACCATAAAAAATGACCATATCCTGATGGCTTAAAACAACAGAAATTTATTCTCTCACAGTTCTGGAGACCAGAAGTCCAAAATTAAAATATTGGCCGTGCTGATTCTCTCTGGGGGCTGTAAGCGAGAATCGGCTCCATGCCTCTTCCAGCGTCTGATGGCTCCAGGTGTTCCTCAGCTTGTAGATGCATCCCTCCAATCTCCACCTCCATCTTCACGTGGCCTTCTGTGTGTGTCTGTGTCTTCTCCTTTCTGTCTCTTCTCATCTTGTCATTGGACTTAAACATCACCTGGGTAATCCAGAATGATCTCCTCATCTCAAGATCCTTCGCTTACATCTGCAAAGACCTTTTTTCCAAATAAGGTCACGTTCACAGGTTCTGGGGGTCAGGAGGTGGACCTATCTTTTTTTGGGGGGCCACCACTCAACCCACTACACTCCTCAAAGAGATCACTCTAATATCTTCCCTGCCCTAAAAATGGCGGCGGGTGGAGTGCTGAATTCAATGGGGGACAACCTGTGCAGAAGGGTGACATTATTTTTGGTGAGTTGGAAGCGTTTGCCTCAGGACAGGTGGCAGCTGTGCAAAATAATCTTCCTCTTGGGCAGGTGCCCTCTCCTCCTCCTCCCAACATGTCCCAAGAAGAGGGAAGCTTCCTGATCTGAAGTGGGTGGCAGGGTAACCTGGGCCACTGGGTGGCAGGTGACAGAGGCTGGGGGTTAGGGAGCAGTGGTAGGGCTTTGCTACTTTGGAGGCAGTGGACTGTGTTTTCCCAGCCTGCCGCCTACACACTGTGCTCTCTTGAGTGAGTTACTCATCCTCGTAAGCCTCAGTTTCCTTGGTTGTAAAATGGAGATAGGGCTTACCTTAAAGGGTGTTGTGAGGGTTAAATTAAACACTGGATGTGAAGTGCACGTCAATGGGATACCATCTACGCATGTCATAGGGGACATCTCTTCTTGGGGCTCCTCTGTGGGGCCTGGAGGTGCTGTTATGATCAGGAGCTTCTCCAATTGCCGGAGAGCAGGGTTCTGCTCTGTGGTTGTGCTTACTGCCCTTTCCCTGAGTGCCCTCCCCCACCCCACTCTGCAGCCAAGGGGCCCTCGCCCCCACAGACCTGTCTGATCTGCTTGAACCCCTCTGGCTGCACGTTGGAGAAGATGTTGCACTCAGGCTGGGCGAGGATCTGGAATGCCACGGCACAGTGGTGGTTCTCTAGGGGTGAGATGTCATTGTAGCGGACAGCCAGCTCTGTGCGTGCATTGATCTGGTACCTGGGGATACAGGAGAGATTCAAGGGAGGCCATGGAGACCCCAGCACTCACGCTCAGAGGCGCTGTTGACAGGGGAACTACTCTGAGGGTATAAGTGGTGCCTGTAGCCTAGAAGACAAGCCACAATGGGGCTGGAGAAACAGATCGCGGTCTGCATCTGCCAGAAACTCACTTCTCAAGTCCCTCCTCCCTCCGATAGCCAGAGTGTCCTTTAAAAGGAAAGAAAGAAGGGAAGGAAGGAAGGAAAGAAGAAAAATAGAAAGAAAGAAAGAAAAAATGATGCACGCACGTGTTGTTGTATCCTGGATGATCCAAATCATGGCAGATGGCTGCAGTCATCAGGATCAAGATGTCCATTTGGGAAAACTTCTCCTGGATGGGAAAACATAGTTAGGTTTCTGCCCTCTTTGCTCTGGGGGTGCAGGAGGGTTGAGAGGAGGTTGGAATCGGTGGGCACTGAGGGAAATGGGTGATGTGGGCAAGATGAAGCTCCTTTCAGTCATCATGGGACCTTCAGCCTGTGCAAGAGAACCTGTCTGTTCTCTGCGGTGGCTGAGGAGGTGGCCACCTACTGGTTTAATTGTAGGAATGACCTCAGTGCTGGGAAGCTTATGGCCTGGAGCGGGTAGCTTCCCTGGTGGGTGGCGGGGATGCTGGGGAATAGGGGTAGCAGGCTGGATGGTGACTGGCAGCAGCGGGGGACCCACACCAGGACCCACCTGGAGACCACAGAGCCAGACCATGCTGTACATCATCTGGGTCACGCAGAAGCAGTGCCGGAAGTTATGGAAAGGGTTGTTCCTGTAGTTGTCATGCACGCAGAGCTGCAGGAGAGGCTGAACTCAAATGCCTGTTCCCAGGCTGCCCTCCCCCCATGGCGGATCAGGATGCACCTTTCCCCCTGGGTCCCCACTAGGACTGACTGTCTCAAGGCTCTCCACCACATCCCTGTCTGAACCCGTGGCCAGTGGTATTCCTGGACTTGCCAAAGGTAAGAGGATGGTGGCCCAGGAAAGCCATATGTGGCCGGAAGGCAGGTGTGGGATAGCCCTTCCCTGGGTTTCCACCAGGGCTTCACAGGCTGGGGTGTGCCCGGAGGTGTGTGAGGAGCCACATGGGGACATGCAGTTGGGGCTGGGGAGATGGCATGTGAGGGGCTCTGGGTTCCCAATCATTGTGAAACCACTTTGATAGGTTTTTAGTGTTTGGCTCTAAGCAATATTTTTTTATTCTAAAAAGGGATCTGCTGCTACATACACACACACGCACACACACATGCACACACACATACACACGTGTACACACAAGTACGCACATGCACTCAATATACACATGTACATGCACACGCATGCACACACAATGCTTACACATACATGCATACACACACACTCATATACATACATGCACACACGAGTGCACACACATACACACATGTATACGCATGCACACACACGAGTGCACACACATACACACGCACACACATGCACACACATACACACACAGACACTGTTGCTTTAGAACATATTGTTTCACTTGTCCCTCCTGGTTCCTATTTCTTTCTTTCTCATCAGGGCAGAAGCCTAGGAGGTAGAGAATGTTTTGGTGGAAGGACAGACAGGGATGGGTGCTGTCCTCCAGGAGTGCCCACGGGAACGTCCCCTCCATCTGTAGGCAGCCCAGGGTCCCCAGGAAGTCGCCAACAGTCAGCAGCCAGCTCTCCTGTAACTCAAGGAACCTGTGTTCCAGAAGGATAGCAGCGGGCCTGGCACTTACCAACCACCTCTTCAGAGTGATGGGGTTGATGTTGAAGTCTCTGACCAGACCGAGGTCATGGTACATGTGCTCTAAGCAGCTCAGCATCTGTGGACAATGGGAAGGGACGGTTGACAGAGGCAGCGGGTGAGCTTGGCTCCCCGCCCTGTCCTGCTTCTCTCCCTGGTCCGGGGAAGGCCACAATGAGGTCAAGCCCCAGGGGCTTCTCCCAGGCTGGCCCCCTTCCCAGAGGCTCCTCCTGAGGGCAGAGGGTGTGGGAAAACTTACGAGAAGACCCTGTTTATGGGGGGTTACAAGAGCTCCCAGGAAGGACATGGGGGCTTGAAGGAGCAGTCAGGATCTTCTGGCATTGGAAGAGCCAGATCAGAAGTCAACAAGAATTCTTTGCAAGAAGGGACAGTGGTTGGACGAGAGGGTGCACTACCGCCCCAATGACCACATCAGAATGATTGTACTTGTTTCTACACATGAAAACCACTACCGGTCTGTCAGTTTGTCGTACTGTGGTGGCCCGCATATTGCTATGATGCTGGATGCTATGCTACTGGTATTTCAGATACCAGCAGGGTCACCCATGGTAGACAGGTTTCAGTGGAGCTTCCAGACTAAGACAGTCTAGGAAGAAAGGCCTGATGACCTACTTCTGGAAATCAGCCAACGAAAACTTTATGGATCATAATAAAACATTGTCCAATATAGTGCTGGAAGATGAACTCTATGTTGGAAGTCACTCAAAATACACAGCAGCCACAACAATGGACTTGAGCAGACCTGCAATTGTGAAGATGGCACAGGACCAGACAATGTTTTGTTCTGTTGTACATGAGGTTGCCATGAGTCGGAGCCGACTCGACAGCAACTAGCAACAAAAACAAACACGCAAAAAACAATCTCAGAGGACTAAGACCACAGCGTAAGGTTCAAGGACACCAGCTCTACCTAACACAGACCTGGGGCCGGGATGTCCTCACTTGCTTGAGTTGTTGCTGTAGTTAGCTGCTGCGGAGTCCACACCGACTCAGGGAGACCCCATGTGCTGCACCGGAGAACTGTTCCAAAGGGTTTGAGACTAGAGAGCCAAAGAGCTTTGATGACTGGCATCCAAACATGCTTAGCTCTGCTCCTGAGAGGGCCTGAGGCACTTGGTACGGTCTTCATGTCTCATCGAACGTCCTGAAGGTGACCCTCTGTCTGGGCGAGCTTCCCCTCCCGCGCCTTGCATAGACCTCTGATTTCTAGAGAAGTCTGTGCTCAAGCTGAAATGGGTATTGTTTTTAGTCCCAAGGAGGATTTATTGTCTTGTTGAGATCTTCTTAAATATAGCTCAGAGCTTTGGGGCTAACTGAGCAAAAGAGGACAAGATTCAATGACTGAAAAAATAACAAACTGTGAACTTGACAAGAGACGACGCTGTGTTTTGGGAAAAGCAGGTCTTGGACAGCCTAAGGATGGAGGGGCTCTGCAAAATGGGGACAGTTGCGTGTCCCTGGGGGCTTGTGGCATGACATCTGAGCAGCCCCACCAGCCAAGGGCTCCCTGGCACAGGGCCACTCTGCCTGCGTTCCGCCTTCCAGCAATTCCCAGTTGCCCCAACACCTGCCCGAGGCAATGGGCTGTCTGTCGCCTTGGAGCCTGGCTCTCTGCCTGCTTTGCTCGCGGTGTGATCTCCTCTTCACGAAAGGACGTGCAACCCAGACATCCTTACTTGTTACACAATGTGAGAACTGGAAACGCTCTAAGTCAGCTGAAACTTTGTAGAGCCAACCCTATAATCAAGGCGCTGATGAAATGGCTACAAAAGCAGAGAATCCTTGGGTATGGCAAAGAATTCATTTGGAAGATCAGAAATCACCTCAAACACAGGCCACTATTGGGCATTTAGGATTTCACCTAGGGAATTTCCTTGCAGCATGCTCTAACCGCACACGTGTCTTCCTCGAGGGGAGAGTGCTTACGTAGACTGGATAATGTCCCCTGGTGGCAGGCTTGGAGAACAGTGGTCCTTGCAGGAACCCCTTATAGAGCGGTATGATGGGTAGGTGGGCTTCGGCTAGAGGCTAGGAGGGCTGGTTGCTGGGCCTGCCGCCCAGGCTGCTGGCCAGCTGCTGCCTGGGATCCCCCAGCTTTGCAGGTGACACGCATGCCTGGCCGGGGGCCCACTGTCCAGAGTTGCTGGTCCCCCCATTGTCCAGATGCTGGCCCTCAGGACCTGTTATGGATTGAGTTGTGTCCCTCAAGAAACATTTGTTGAAGTCCTAACCCCAGTACCTCTGAACGTGACCCTGTTTGGAAATAGGGTCTTTGAAGATATTTCCAGGTTAACAAGATCATAAGGAGTAGGGTGGGTCCCTAATCCCTTCTGAGTGGTGTCTCAGAAAAGAGGAGAGACAGAGAGAGTACACACAGGGAGAAGGCACCATGTGAGATGCTGCAAGCTAATGGTGTAAAATCCTTACTTTCCCGATTGTCAGAGCTGTCGCTGCTGCGGACTTGTCAAAGAGAGCGGGTAGGGGGTGGGGGGCAACCTGTCGGCGTCTCTCTGTTATGGAAAAGCTGGAAGGAGTCGTTCGATTTTGGGGTGTTGAAAATAGCTAGGCCTGATGGCCACGATGAAGGATCTTTTATTTTCTTGGGGTTCAGAAAGAAAGGAGTATAACTAGTATCTTTAGATAACTTGCTGTAAATTACTGCCAAGTTGGCCCCTGACTCATGGTGACTTCATGCACAACGGAACAAAACGTTGCCCGGTCCTGTGCCATTCCGATGATGGGTTGTGGATCAGAGCACTGTGGTCCATAGGGTTTTCACTGGCTGATTTTTGGAAGTAGATTGCCAGGACTTGCTTCCTAGTCTGTCTTAGTCTGGAAGCTCTGCTGAAACCTGTTCAGCATCACAGCAACATGTAAGCCTCCACTGACAGATGGGTGGTGGCTATGTATGAGGTGCATTGGCTGGGAATCGAACCTGGGTCTCCTGCATGGAAAGCGAGAATTCTAACACTGAATCACCACCGCCGCCATATTAGATAATCAGAGTAAACCAAAAAAATCTCCATTTTTGTGGTTTTTAAAAATGTTGTTGTGTTTTAGGTGAAATTTTACAGTGCAAATTAGTTTCTCATTAAAAAATTTTATACACAAATTCTTTTGTGACATTAATTGCAATCCCTGCAATGTGTCAGCACTCTCCCCCTTTCCCTGTTCACCCTGGGTTCTCCATGTCCATTTATCCAGGCTTCCTGTCCCTTCCTGCCTTCGTGGCTTTGCTTTCGGGCAGGTGTTGCTCATTTGGTCTCTTATACTTGACTGAGCTAAGAAGCACCTACTTGCCCGGTGTTACTGTTTGCTTTATAGGCCTGTCTAATCTTTGGCTGAAATATGGACTTTGGGAGTGGTTTCAGTTCTGAGTTAGCAGGGTGTCTAGGGGCCATAGTCTCGGGGGTTCCTCCAGTCACTGTCAGACCAGTAAGTCTGATCTTTTTTTGTGAATTTGAATTTTGTTCTAATTTTCCTCCTGCTCTGCCCAGGACTCTCTATTGTGATCCCTGTCAGAGGGTCGGGGGTGGTAGTCAGGAACCATCTAGTTCTTCTGGGCTCAGACTGGTGGAGACTGTGGTTCATGTGGTCCATTAGTCCTCTGGACTAGTATTTTCCTTTGGCTTTCTTCATTCTGCTTTGCTCTGAACGTGATGGGACCAATAGACGTATCTTAGATGGCCACTTGCAAGCTTTTAAGATCCCAGATGTTACTCACCAAAGTAGAATGTAGAGCATTTTCTTTATAAACTATGTTATGCCAATCGACCTAGATGTCCCCTGAGACCATAGTCTCCAGTAACTCAGTTCCTCAAGGTGTTTGGATGTGTCAAAGCTTCTATCACTTTGCCTTGGTCAAGTTGTGCTGGCTTCCCCTATATTTATTGCGTGTTGTCTTTCCCTTCACCAGAGTTACCGCTTGTCTACTATCTAGTTAGTAAATTCCCCTCCCTGACCCTTCCCTCCCTCATAACCATCAAAGATTGTTTCTTCCTGTATGTAAACTTTTTCTTAGGATTTCATAATAGTGGTCCCATACAATATTTGTCCTTTTGTGACTGACTTATTTCACTCAGCATAATGCCCTCCAGATTCAGCCATGATGTGAGACGTTTCAAGATTCATCATCGTTCTTTATCATTGCGTAGTACTCCATTGTGTGTATGTGCCATAGTTTGTTTATCCATTCATCTGTTGATGGGCACTTAGGTTGTTTCCATCTTTTTCTTATTGTGAATAATGCTGCAATGAACATGGGTGTGCATATGTCTATTTGTGTGATGGCTCTTATTTCTCTGGGATATCTTCCTAGGAGTGGGATTGCTGGATTGTATGGTATTTCTACTTCTAGCTATTTAAGGAGGTGCCATATCGTTTTCCATAGTGGTTGTACCATTTTGCATTTCCACTAGCAGCGCATAGGAGTTCCAATCTCCCCACCACCTCTCCAACATTTGTTATTTTCTGTTTTTTTTTTTTTGATTCTTGCCAGTAATGTCAGGGTGAGATGGAATTTCACTGTGCTTCTGATTTGCATTTCTCTTATGCCTAGTACTAGTTTTGTGTTTTCTCAGAAAAAGGGAAATTTTAAAATCTTGCTGCAAAAAGGGGCTCACTATTCCCTAAATTTGCACCCACACATTTAATCCTGCGTTTCCTTCAACCTGGGTAGGACACAGCCGCCTGGGCCTTGCCACTGCTGACAACTTTTTCACAGCAGAACATTCTGATTTAAGCCTCTTTCTTGAGCAAATGTTTGCTCCAAAGCACGAGAGCTGCGCATCCTGTGTTTTCTTCCTCCACTTGCTGGCACAGCTCCTGGCTGGCTCTGCAGGGTTGAGTCTGTGTGGATAACCAACAGTTGACCCCTGCAGAACTCAAGAGAATGTTCTATGGAGGGTTGGCCTCCTCAGAGTTCCAGGGTCTGGAGTCTCCCTGGACTTGAAGACTTTCTCCTTTGCTCATGGCATCTTCCTTCCTGAGTTCTGTGTCCAGGGCCCTCCCAAGCCTACATGGTGTAAGTCTGTGCTAAAAGCTGGAGAATCAAGTTGTTTTTTTTTTTTAGAGAACACACAAAGGAGGAAGAACAAGGGGCATGCTGGTGAGGGCCAATTTATCCTTCTCCACTAGCGTTCCAGCCTTCCCAAACAGCTTCTGGTGAGGACTAAAGCCAGCCACCGCCAGGGATGCCCCCACTTACCTCATTGGGCTCCCAAAGCCAGACATCAAAGGTCGGCTTCCGTAGAGCATCGATGGTCTCCGGAGAGAGCAGGTACTAGAAAGGACAAGATTTGGTGTTAACGGGGCAACGGTGGGCTTTTGTTTCTGGGACAAAGCCCGGTGGCCTTGGACATGTGCAGTGGCGTTTCCTACAGTTTCTTTTTGCTCCCCTTTCAAGAATACCTGCATCCAGACCCAAGCCTACGTTCTATAAGGATTCTGGAAAGGGCAAAGCTATAGGGACAGGAATCCAATCAGTGGTTGCCAGGAGCTGGGCGAGAGAGAAGGGAAGGGACAGCAAAGAGGCCTGAGGGAACTTGTGGAGGGATGGGAATGCTCCGTGTCTTGATTGTGGCAGAGACTACAGCTCTCTCTCTCTCTCTCTATATATATATATACTAGTTGCTGTAAAGTCAGTTCTGACTCATAACAACCCCATGTGTGTCAGAGTAAAACTGTGCTCTGTGGGGTTTTCAATGGCTGGTTTTTTGGAAGTAGATCACCAGGCCTTTCTTCCAAGGTGCCTCTGGGTGCACCTGAACCTCCAGGTGCAGTCACCATTTGCATCACCCAGGGACTCCACGTGACTATATAAATTTGTCAAAATTCACAGTATTCCACACCTAGAAAAGATGAATTTTACTGCCTGTAAATTGTCTCTCAGTTGGCCCGGGAGTTGTGGGTTATTGTTAAGCTGTTTAGCATTGTCTCCCACCCACAACCATACTTGACTAGTTTCGCCTTAATGGAGCCCTGGTGGCACAGTGGTTAAGAGTTGGGCTGATAACCAAAAGGCCGGCAGTTTGAATTTACCAGCCTCTCCTTGAAAACCCTATGGGGCAGTTCTACTCTGTCCTATAGGGTTTCTATGAGTCAGAATCAACTCGACAGCAATGGGTTTGATTTTTGATTTGGAAATTATATCTCAGCAAACCTGACTTTCAAAAATACAATTAAGTGAATTCAAGAGAAAGAAAACCAGTTAGCTGTGGAGAAAATACTGGCTATGGAGCTCTTTTGAGTTCCTGTCTTTGGTAAGCCATCGCTGGTTCTGGCTGTGAGCCGACACAGCACAGCGGGCTGGTCAGGCTGCAGCCTGAGGCTGGCTGCATGGACACCACAGTTTAGGCTCAATTGTCCTAAAAAGCACGAGGCTGTGTTTTAGACAAAAGACAGTGACAACACATGTGTACTACTGTTTCATGAGAAACTATTTGTTCTGTAAGCCTTCACCTGAAGTACAATAAAAAAATAAAATAAAATAAAATAAAAAAGACCGTGACAGGGTTGGGAATAAGATGCATCTTCTCCTAGGTGTCTGTGTTTATTTGTTTTTACAAAAGCGCTGCTATGGAGGACTGACCTTTTTATTTTGGACCTAGGCTGTGTGTTGTGATTCCCCGGGGCAGGAATCTTGAGAGATTTCAGTCATATTTTCTTACAGAAAAGGGCATCAGTCTCCCCTGAAAATCTCAGACAAGGTTTAGCAGGCTGTTGGGAGCCGAGTGGGGGGGCGCGCTGACCAATGGGCACCAGTGGCCAACAGAGGGCTCCGAGAGGCTCTTTGATGCCCACTCGGACCCTAGGCAGTGGGAAAATCACCTTGCTTGTGGCTCCATTTCTCTCATCTATGGGACTGGTACCACCCACCGCAGGTCACTTGTGGGGACCCCTAATCTTTTTTTTTGTAATTACGGTAAAATACATATCACAAAATCTTGCCATTTTCACCATTTTTAAGTGCACCGTTCAGTGACATTAATTACATTCACTGTATTGTGCAGCCATCACCATTATCTGTTTCTGAAAGCTTTCCATCACCCCAAACAGAAACTCTGTACCCCTTAAGCAATAACTCCTCGTTCCTCCCTTCTCTCAGTCCCAGTAATCATTAACCCACTTTCTTTCTTTATGCATTTTTCTATGCTAGGCATTTCATATAAGTGGGATCATATAATATTTTTCTTTTTGAGCCTGACTTATTTCACTCAGCATATGTTTTCAAGGTACATCCATGGGGTAGCATGTATTAAGATTTCATTTCTCTTTTTGGCTGAGTAATACACCTTCTCCTCACTTATCAACATGGTTGGGTTCCAAAGACCAGGTTGTTATGTGAAATAGGCGTTATATGAAAATGGAGGATGACCACATCAGATCACGAAAAATGGAGGATGACTACATTATTACATAATTGCCAAATGACATTATTACATAACTGCCAAACCACTGAGAATCATGGCCTAGCCAAGTTGACACACAGCCTTAACCATCACCTCGCACTTCAGTGTTCATTACTGCCGGACATATGTTGTTAATACTCAAAATAGTCTGACAGATTTTTTACTACTGTCATAAATGAAAAATGTGGGCTAACAAGACAGTTGATAAGTGAGGAGAAAGTGTATTCCATTGTATGGGTATACCACATTTTTAGAAATTGTGGTGAAAATATACACAACAAAACATATGCCAACTCAACAACTTCTACAAGTATAACTCAGTGACATTGTTTACATTCTTTGAGTTGTGCAACCATTCTCATGGTCCTTTTCCAAATCGTTCCACCACCATTAACATAAACTCAATGTCCCCTAAGCTGGACAGACCACACATTGTTTGTTCATCTCTTGATGGACACTTGGGTGGTTTCCACCCTTTGGGGAAGCCCTCATCTTAGCTCAAGAGTAAATTAAATATCGGGTGGGCCAGCATTTCGCTCATGCATCAGCTGAAAGCATTTTCGAGATGGGTGGCCAAAATCACGAGACTGTTTTTTCTCTTAGTTGTTTGAAAAAAATCCCCAGGGCATGGCTACTTTAAGAAGGGCTATTTCTCTTCTAGTTGAGAAATCTTTTATGCCGAATGCCAACAGTTTTATAACTATACAATATATAGTTATATAATAACTACATATTACTCAGGGACAAGGAATCCAGTGAAGCAGACTTTAAAAAATGTATTTAAAATTAAAGTTATTTAAAGTAACACTGAAGTGTAAAAACCATTTACGAGACCGCAGTGGGGGCTGGAGCGGGCAGCAGTGAGGAATTACTGTCTCCTTGCACAAAGTGAAGTAGGGTCTGGGATTCCTTTTGCTAAACAAATGTCAAAGAGAAAAAACATTCTGCCTGAGAAAAACAGGAGCACTGGTAGCCCAGCGGTGGGGTGGGAGCTGTGTTTGCAGATGTGCAGACAGCTGGGCTGACCAGGAGGCCAGGGTGGCCGGGCATGGGGTGCTGTGGTCTGGGGCTGTGGACCTGGAGGGTCAATGTCTTCAGAGCCAGAACTGCGATGTTACCTTGGGATAAGGTGGGACATCGCGTTGCGTCGTCAACCTCTTGCTGTTATCCAGGAAACTGTATTTACAGGGACAGCTGGTCCTGCAAAGAAGAATGAAGCTTAGTTCTGGTACTCTTGCTTCAAATTTCTCTCTCTCTTTTTTGTTTAATTGTGGTAAAATATACATAAGAAAACATTCGACATTTCAACCATTTTTATGTGTACAACTTAGTGACATGAATTACATTCACCATGTTGGGCAACCGTCACCACCATCCATTTCCAAATGCTTCTCATCACCCTAAACAGAAACTCAGTACCCCTCCAGCAATGGTTCCCCATTTCCTCCTCCCATCAGCCCCTGGTAACCACTAATAAACTTCGTCTCTATGCATTTTCCTATTCTAAATTTTTCATGTGGGTGAGGTTACATAATATCTGTCCTTTTGTGCTGTGTTATTTCATTCAGCATAATGTTTCCCAGGTTTATCCGTGTTGTAGCATGTAGCAGAATTTTATATCTCTTTACGGCTAAGCAATATTCCATTGTGTGGTGTCTTAGTTACCTAGTGCTCCTATAACAGAGATACAAACAAATTTATTTCCTCACTGTTCAGGAGGCTAGAAGTCTGAATTAAGGGTGCTGGCTCTAGGGGAAGACTTTCTCTTTCTGTCGGCTCTGGAGGAAGGTCCTTGTCTCTTCAGCTTTTGCTCCCTGGTTCCGTGGAGATCTACTTGTGGCTCGGCATCTCTCTTTCCCCATCTCTGCTTCTTAGCTTGCTTGTTTAATCTCTTTTATATCTCAAGATACACGCTACACTGCTCCTGCCTCATTAACATAACAAAGAACCCATTCCCACAGGCATAAAACAAAAAACAAAAAACCCCTAACAAACCCGTTGCCATTGAGTTGATTCCAGCAACCCCATAGAGCAGAGTAGAACTGCCCCATAGGGTTTTCCAAGGAGCGGTTAGGGGATTCGAACTGTTGACCTTTTGGTTAGCAGCTGAACTCTTTAACCACTGTGCCACCAGGGCTCTGCCACAGGCATAGAGGTTAGGATTTACAACATACATTTTTGGGGGACACAATTCAATCTATAACATGTGGATAGACCACATTTTTTTATTCATTCACAGCGGACTTATTAGGAGAGGGGTGTCCACACCTGGTTTGTTAGGAGACTCACAGGTTGATTGGCAGTGTGGTGGGGGGACATCAGTGTGTCAAATGCAGCAGAAGATACTGCCATTTGTCAATCAGGTATCATTTTGGGGGAGAGCAATTTAATACTATATAGAAAAAGTCATAAAGAAAGTCATATCATTTAAGGCCGCCTGTCTACTCTGGGGAATTGATCTTAAGCAAAGACTTAAACACAAGCAAAGAGCTCTCAGCACAAAGATATTTATTGCAGCATCATCTGTTGCTACAAAACCACAAAATGTCCCCAAATAGGAAGTAATTGAAACCATCGTGGTACATCAACATGGCGGATGATTATGTGATCATTAAGATAAGTTGAATATTATGTGAAATCAGGGAATTTTCAGTGAAAAAGGAAAATCAAAACGTTGCATACGATACGTTCACAAAGCACTAGTACTACAAAAGAATGCAGAGGAAATTTACCACACCACGAGGAACAAAGAATACACGGTAGGTTAAAATTGAGCGCGGATTGTTGTCTTCAGGAAAAAATCTATGAGCTGTACGTTGGTTACAATTTAATCTACTTATTGTTCTCAACATAGGAAGTGAAAAGAGATTACAAAACAGTATTTTTTTTTAGTTGTTTTCAAAAATAGACATCTATACATACAAAAACATCTGGAAGATTTAAATTGGGGCATCATTAAATTGGCTGCTCTCATTATTGCTATTCTTCCCCCTCATTGGTATATTCTGGAAGTTTTACAATGAGCCTATGCTACTTTCAAACTCAGAATAATAAATCTATTCCCTTTTGGAAAAAAGAGCTTTTGGTATAATTTTCTTGGTATGCTGCTCTTCCTTTCCTGCACTTGCAGAAATCCTGAGTTGCTTCAATGGTTTGCTGAGCAAAAGAATAACAAAACGAATGATCCAATAAAATGTACCCATAAAAGGATTTCCATTGTCACCCCAGTCAATGAGAAATCCCATTTACACATTTCTGAGCTGTGGTGACCTTGGTTTGTACAATTAAAATATATAGTAGTGTTATTATGGCTTTTCTGCCTTTAGCCTCTTTTGTATAAACATTTACGAGTACCTGGGGAGTGCAAACAGTTAAGTGCTTAGCTACTAACCAAAAGGTTGGAGATTTGAGTCCTCCCAGAGGTGCCTCAAGAGAAAGGCCTGGTGATCTACTTCCAAAAATCAGCCATTGAAAACTCTATGGGGTGGTTCTGCTCTGACACACGTGGTGGGTGTTTTTGGTATAAACACGCACACACACGAGGTCTGTGTAGGTCTGCATTTCCCAGGAGGGTTACGAAAACTTTTCAACAAGCAACATGGTTTCACCGATGGGATCCAGCTGTTTGCTGAAATCCCAGTGTGGAAGCAGATAAGGCAACGCTCGGTGCCTGGCAACCCTGCGGAGGCCTTCTTGCCTCAGGCCACTGCCCAGGCGCCTGCTCCCTCTGCACCCCGTTGCCATGGAAACAGGCATCCTCCTCACTCACTGTGTGGCTGGCACCGGGCCTTTTCTTTTTATCGTATTTGGAGCTGATTTTCATTTCCTGGGCTCCCTCCCCACCCTTCCCTCGCCGGGGGCTCTGTCTGGTCAGGGGCCATTAGTTCGGGATGAAAGCAGAGATTATAGATCCCCAGAGCCCTCCATTGGTATTCAGGCTACTGGACCTCTGTGTCCCAGGACACTGTGTGGGGGTGCAGGCATGGTGCAGGGGCTGGAGTGATGGCCACCCCATAAGGCCTGGCCGCTGCACTATATATGGGCAGGCAGAAAAACTATGAGAGACATATTTGGGGATTGTATGGATAACACTGAGAAGAACGGAAATTCCAGGATACTTGATTATGCTCATGTAGAACCTGTACATAGACAGGTAAGAGACAGTCATTCAAACAGAGCAAGAGAACACTGCATGTTTTAAAATCAAGAAAGGTGTGTGTCACAGTTATATCCTTTCATCATACTTATTCAATCTGTATGCTGGGCAAATAATCTGAGAAGGTGGACTATATGAAGAAGAATGTGGCATCAGGATTGGAGGAAGACTCATTAATAACCTGCGATATGGAGATGACACAACCTTGCTTGCTGAAAGTGAAGAAGACTTGAAGCACTTACTGATGAAGATCAAAGACCACAGCCTTCAGTATGGATTACACCTCAACATAAAGAAAACAAAAATCATCACAACTGGACCAATAAACAACATCATGATAAATGGAGAAAAGATTGAAGTTGTCAAGGATTTCATTTTACTTGTATCCACAATCAACACCCATGGAAGCAGCAATCAAGAAATCAAATGACATATTGCATTGGGCAAATCTGCTGCAAAAGACCTCTTTAAAGTGTTAAAAAGCAAAGATGTCTCTTTAAGGACAAAGGTGCGCCTGACCCAAGCCACGGTGTTTCAATCGCCTCATATGCACACGAAAACTGGACAATGAATAAGGAAGACTGAAGAAGAATTAATGCCTTTGAATTATGGCGTCAGCAAAGAATATTGAATATACCATGGACTGCCAAAAGAATGAACAAATCTGTCTTGGAAGAAGTACCACGAGAATGCTCCTTAGATGCAAGAATGGCTAGACTTTGTCTCACGTGCTTTGGACGTGTTATCAGGAGGGATCAGTCCCTAGGGAAGGACATCATGCTTGGTAAACTAGGGGGTCAGTGAAAAAGAGGAAGACCCTCAACAAGATGGATTGACACAGTGGCTGCAACAAAGGGCTCAAGCGTAACAATGATTGTGAGGATGGCGCAGGACCAAGTAGTGTTTTGTTCTGTTGTATATGGGGTGGCTATGAGCAGGAACTGACTCAACGACACCTAACTACAACAACAACGGCAACAGAACAATAGGATAGGGCAGCCTGTCCCAGCCGGTGTCTGTGAGCCTGAAAACGACTTCACTCCTGGTCCTGAAAGGCAGGTTTGGATCCACTTGGGCTGTGATGGTATCGGGGAATGTGGTCACCATCTCCTGCTCAGCAGCCATTCCTGAGGGCACAGACTGGTTCTGCGCCTGCCTGGTTCCTCATCTCCTCTCTGCTCTCCTGAGCTGGCTGACCCCAGGGAAAGGGGCCACTTAGCTGCTCACACTTCTCCCCCTGGCAGCACGTGGGGGTCACATCTTAACAAGTCTGGTCTTGGGGACTCTGAATTGCTCCATGGCCCCCACACACGATTAAAATGGAACCTCAGCATCAAGAGGGACAGAAGAGTACACATCCCAAATGGCTCATTGATCTGAACTTAGTTTTACAGAAAGCAAAGGAGAGGGTTTTTTGTGTGGGGACGTGGGGCTGGGGCTGTGAGCTAGGGTCTGGGGTGGTGGATCTCACTGTGCATTTGACCAGAGCCCAGAATACTGTGGTTTTCTTTCTAAACATGTGAGTGGTGTTCCTGATTTGGATTGAGAAGCCACATTTGTCATATCACACCTTTGCAGGAAGTGTGAACGTTGCATCTGAGACATCGCTCCAGAAGCCCAGGAGGCCTGGAGGATGCCTGCTCTTTGGGTGGTGGTGCTGGGAGCCCTGAAAATGCACCTCCTGGGGAACATGGAAGAGCCTTTCATTGCTTCAATGGGAACACGCAGCCGCCTGGTAAGGCCCCCATGGGCACCTGGCAGCTGGCCATCTTGCCCTCACTCCAGAGCTCTTCTTTCCATGAGCTCTGAAGCCGTGGGTCCCTGCCCCAAACAGAGCCAGATCCCTGCCTTATGCAGTCTTGGGAAGCTGTGCCACAGAGCTCCTGGGGTACTTGGTCCTGATGTGTACCACACCAGCCCACCACCCTTCTGTCACAGCCTATTGGCTGCACACGTGGTCACGGCAGCTGTTCGGAGTCCATGGAGAGGTCTGGCACAGAGCAGATGGGGTCTGGCTAATTGGAGTTTCTCACTTGGGCATTAGGACCAGCCACAGGGATGGAGGTCCAGCAGTTGCAGCAGGGGCAAGTGGTAGTCAGAGGGTGAGGCTGATTGTCACTAATGGAGCTATGACGGCCCTGAGGCTGAGGGCGCCATGATGGTCAGGGGTCCTTGGAGCTCAGCATCCTTCCAACTGCCAAGCCAGGTCCCAGCTGGTTCCTATGCAACTACAGGGCTCTTACTTGAGGTCATGTGCGGGACCCTGATCTCTCACCCCTTAAAGAGCTTCCCACCATGGGGATGATGAAGATGAATTATTCACTCACAGTTTTCTGCAGTCCCAAACTCCTTTGCCCCAAATTCCCCCAAATCAAATGGGATGAGACAACCCTAAATTCAAACTGACCACAAATAAATGCGACAAAATATAGCACAGTCCACATAGGCCTCCTGACCTGGCTTGAAAAGCACCACTTCCAGTCAGCCGTCCTCCCATCTGTCTGTTACCTGCAGCCACCAGTAGGCAGGCCAGCCCTGATGGACTCAATGGGAACCAAGCTCAGCATCAGCTTTCCCTTAGCCTCTTGCTCCATGCAAACCTTCTGTGTTGCCACATATTTTCTCCAGCAGGCTTGCCCTTGATTTTATAAAGTCAGGAAATGATCTTCCATCTGTTAAATGACCCCAGGGCCTTTAAGGACATTTGCATAGGCTATTCTTATGCTCACTGGTTCCCATTAAATCCCGCTGTGTGTCAAGGATATTTCTGAAGCTTGCCAGGAACTTGAGCGGTGATTTAATAGCATAGCATTCTAAGGGGTGATGGGTCACATTAGAACCACTTGGTTTCCTGGATGGTAACTATGGGCATGAAGAAAAAGCCAGGATGTCAGACCAGTGTGAGATGATCCGTGTAGAGCACTCAGCACGGCACCTGCACAAAGGAAGTGCTCAATGTATGTGCTATCGCCACCATCAACAGCCTCACCACCATCATCATCCTCACCACCATCATTGCTGTCATCACTATCATCATGACTCCCACCATCATCATCATGACCACCCCCATCATCTTCATCACCATCCATCACCACCACCACCATCATCGTTACTATCACTGACATTATCACCATCACCATGACCATCATCATCACCACCATCATTGTCACCATCATTATCCTCACCATCATCATTGCTGTCATCACTATCATGACCACCACCATCATCATCATCATGACCACCACCATCATCATCACCATCCATCACCACCACCACCATCATCATTACTATTACTGACATTATCACCATCACCATGACCGTCATCATCACCACCATCATTGTCACCACCATCATCATCCACACCATCATCATCCTCACCATCATCATCCTCACCATCATTGCTGTCATCACTATCATCATGACTACCACCATCATCATCATGACCACCACCATCATCATCACCATCCATCCCACCACCACCATCATCGTTACTATCACTGACATTATCACCATCACCATGACCATCATCAACACCATCATCATTGTCACCACAGTCATCATCCTCACCATCATCATCATCACTATCATTACCATCATTACCACCACCATCATCATCCTCACCATCCTCCTCCTCCTCATCACCATCACTACCACCATCATCACCACTATTATTACCATCACCATTATCATCAACATCATCATCACCATCATTTGTTATTAATATGCATCTCTGTCCTCAACCTGAACATTGTTCATGCAAACAGCTTCTCTCCACATTTGCTTCACAGTGAACTTTCAAGCGACGTAATGAAGCCTGGGGCATCTTTTCACCAATTATGGCTGCCTGAGCCGCCTCACACTGACTCCCCAGGAGCACTGGTGAAGGGACCCCTTGTTCCACGAAGAGGTGATTTCTATGACCAGAGCAGCTGCTACTTTGTGTTGTAGGGACTCCCACATGGGGGTGGGGCCTCTGGGGTACACTGGGACACTCGTCCCTCTAAGCCAAATGCCTTTTACTGTCCTCTTTCTTTAAAATCGATGCCAACTCCTTTAACGGGCTAAGTTAACACTAACACATCAAGACCACTGATGTGTGGGAAGATTACTCCTCTTTTATACGAAGTCATCTTCCTAGCCTCAGTCTGCCATAAACTCTCTTTTATTACAAGAAAGCTATACTTGAAAAGCAGATCCTAAGTAGATTGAGGCTATCTCCAGACTCTGCTCATACAAGCCAGAAACAAATAGAATTGTACCAGCTATTCTTTTAGGCAAACAAAACTCCCAAGCTCTCCCTTCTGCCTGCGGGCTCACCCCACAGACCTTACCTGTTGCTTCTGGCTGCCAGCTCCTCCCTCATCTTCTTAATGTCACTTTTGCATTTCTCAATCTCCACCACCTTCAGACCTTCCACTGGCAACAAAGAGAAACAAGGAGGCGGTTACCCTGTGTACATGTGGAGGGGCTTGCAGGGCTAGTACTTAAAGGCTAGCTCATGGCTCAAAGCATCCTGGGAGGAAACCTACCCCAAGCAGTGATCCCCATTCCTGCCCAGGATTCACCGCCTCACTCAACTCAGCCACAACGGGCTTCATCATCACCAGCAGCCATGGCCAAGTTTGAACCATTGCATCCATCAGTGCACTTTCTACAGGCTTGAACCCCTCCTCCTCCTCCACTCCCCAAGATTCTCTTAACCCTTCTTGTACCCAATTCTTGCTTTCTCTCTCTTCCCCCCTGAGCACCAGCTAAGGACATGGGACAAAGAAGTCTTTTATCCCAAAAAGAAAAGAAAGGGGAAAAATGGCCACACTGAACATTAAAATTCAGCAGAAGGCTCAGAAAAGCCACAAGCTTTCCCAGCAGCCATTAAAATCTCATTCAGATAAAAGCATTCATTTAAAGTTTCCCCCACAGAGAGCAGCTAACCAGGAGAAACTGTTGACTTAAAATAGATGAGAAATAAACAGGCCAACTTAACGTGGGCTTGATGACATTCACGGAGCCCTGTGGCAGAGCTGTGCCCCCAAAGTCATGATATTATTATTACTATTTTTTTAATTTTATTGTGCATTAGGTGAAAGTTTACAGTGCAAATTAGCTTCTCATTTAAAAATTTATACAGAAATTATTTTGTGACATTGGTTGAAATCTCCATAATGTGTCGCATTCATCCCCTTTCCACCCCGGGTTCCCTGTGTCTATTCATCCAATCTTCCTGTCCCTTCCTGCTTTCTGTCTTTGCTTTTGGGCAGGTGTTTCCCATTTGGTTTTGTATACTTGATTGAACTAAGAAGCACGTTCCTCCCCTGTGTTATTGTTTGTTTTATAGGCCTGTCTAATCTTTTTTCAACAATGTAAAGGGTTACTATTCACGTGTACCTCACTGGATGGAAAACACAGGAATCAAATCAACTACATCTGTGGAAAGAGATGATGAAAAAGCTCAATATCATCAGTCAGAACAAGGACAGAGGCTGACTGCAGAACAGACCATCAATTGCTCATAAGCAAGTTTAAGGTGATGCTTAAGAAAATTAAAACAAGTCCATGATAACCAAAATATGATTTTGAGTATATCCTACCTGCATTTGTAGATCATCTCAAGAATAGATTTGACGCATTGAATGCTAATAACTGAAGACCAGATGAGTTGTAGGATGACATCAAGAACATCATACATTAGGAAAACAAAAGGTCATAAAAAAGATGGGAAAGAAAGAAAAGACCAAAATGGATATCAGAAGAGATTCTGAAACTTGCTCTTGAATAAGAGTAGCTAAATTGAACGGAAGAAATGATGAAGTAAAAGAGCTGAACAGAAGATTTCAAAGGGCGGCTGAAGATGACAAAGTAAAGTATTATAATGACATGTGCAAAGAACTGGAGTTAGAAAACCAAAAGGGAAGAAGACGCTTAGCATGGGTCAAGCTGAAAGAACTGAAGAAAAAAATTCAAGCCTTGAGTTGCAATACTGAAAGATTCTATGGGCGAAATACTGAACGACACAGGCAGCGACAAAAGAAGATGAAAGGAATATACAGAGTCACTGTATCAAAAAGAATTGGTTGATGTTCACCCGTCTCAGGAGGTAGCATATGACCAAGAACTGATGGTACTGAAGTATGAAGTCCAAGCTGCACTGAAGACATTGGCGAAAAACAAGGCTTCAGGAATTGATGGACTACCAACTGAGATGTTTCAACAAACGAATGCGGTGCTGAAGGTGCTCACTCGTCTACGCAAAGAAATTTGGACAATAGCTACCTGGCCAGCTGACTGGAAGAGATCCATATTTACGCCCATTCCAAAGAAAGGTGATCCAATCGAATGTGGAAATTATCAAACAATATCATTAATATCACACCCAAGTAAAATTTTGCTGAAGATCACTCAAAAGTGTTTGCAGCAGTACATCAACAGAGAACTGCCAGAAGTTCAAGCCCGATTCAGAAGAAGACATGGAATAAGGGATATCATTATTGACATTAGACAGATCTTGGCTGAAAGCAAAGAATACCATAAAGACGTTTATTTGTGTTTTATTGATTATGCAAAGGCATTCGACTGTGTGGATCATAACAAATCATGGATAATATTGCAAAGAATGGGAATTCCAGAACACTTAACTGCACTCGTGCAGAATGTGTACATAGACCAAGAGGCAGTCATTTGAACAGAAAAAGGGGATACTGCATGGTTTAGTCAGGAAAGGTGTGCGTCAAGGTTGTATCCTTTCACCATAGTTATTCAATCTGTACACTGGGCAAATAATCTGAGAACCTGCACTATATTAAGAAGAACGTGGTGTCAGGGTTGGTGGAAGACTATTAACAACCTACAATATGCACATGACACAACCTTGCTTTCTGAAAGTGAAGAGGACGTGAAGCACTTACTGATGAAGATCAAAGACTACAGCCTTTAGTATGGATCACACCTCACCATAAAGAAAACAAAAATCCTCACAACTTGACCAATAAGCAACATCATGATAAATGGAGAAAAGATTGAAGTTGTCAAGGATTTCATTTTACCTGGATCCACAATTAACACCCATGGAAGCAGCAGTTAAGTAAATCAAACGACATATTGCATTGGGCAAATATGCTGCAAAAGACCTCTTTAAAGTGTTGAAAAGCAAAGGTGTCACTTTGAGGACTATGGTATGCCTGACCCAAGCCATGATATTTTCAAACTCCTCATATGCATGCAAGAGCTGGATGATGAATAAGGAAGACCAAAGAACTGATGCCTTTGAATTGTGGTGTTGTTGAAGAATACTGAA